GTGGGAGAAGCATCAGTAATGATCGTCGAATGATGTTTGGCGGAAAATGGCTTCAAAACAGCTGATGAAGATAACCAAGCAGTGCACGCAACGCCAATCAAATGGGGTCTCCCCGCGCAAGTTCGAATCCTGCCCGCGACGCCAAAATGTGGGAATTAAATTTTGTACGTATATCGGTATAACCCGACAAACTAGAAATCCAGAATTCAGCAAAGAGTGGCAACCAGCACGTATGTATTCGAATTGGCGAATATATACAGCATATGGAATATTAAAACAAGATAATAATGAATAGAGCAATGAATAGAGCATCAGTCATGTTCATCACAGAATTTTTCAGCCGGAAAATTATCTGAAAATTCCGTGCACTGTAGGTCCCCTTTTACCGCCGTTCTAAATTTCCTATAACATGAGGCAACACATTCACAGTCGGTGGTGTTTATTGACCTCGGGGACTCGCCCACTTTAAAACTCACCAATGTAGATAATTTGCAATGATACATGAACATACAACAGTATACATGGATATTGTACGCTGCGAAGCGGCAAACTGAAAATGCGGTAGCTTCCGAGAAATCAATATCATTGTGCTAATACCGAGCGGCCTGTTTCTACTACAGGACTTCTTATGACATGTAACTTGCCGCGTCGGAACAGGTCGGTTGCTTCCACTGCCCATCACTTTGTCCACCTATACCGTTCACCCTACATTCAAGCCCTAACCTTGTCCAATCCCACCCAATGTCTTCCTTCATGGGTTCGCATATTGATGCGCAGGATCAAAGAGTTCGCTCAAGTTTCCCGGGGAGTTTTCGTTCTTGTCGTCCAGCGTCCCGCCCCAGACAGAGCTTTTGTTACAGCTAGTAAATTTTCTCTTTTTCACGATGGCCGGCACGCGTTCTCTGTCTTAAGGCAGGGTTTGATCTCCACCGATATGCCGAGCCACAAATACTGCCGTTGGGCGAACTAATGCGTTTGTGGGCGGGTCAAGTTTGAACGAAAGCAGAAACCACAGAATTCGTATTTTAATTGCTACCGGGGACTTCGCGCATTGTATTTTCGAAAGCGGCAAGAAATTTTGTAGTTGTGTGATATGTTTCCTTCCGTATGGAATTTCTGAATTGTCCCAAAACGAGATAGATAATAATCACGCTCTCTGAGCCTACGCAATCTCAAAATGGAGCGGCCATTCGCCACCTGTATACGAAAAATTCTTCTATGGTTGCGGCAAGCGTCCCGCCCCAGACAGAGCTTTTGTTACAGCTAGTAAATTTTCTCTTTTTCACGATGGCCGGCACGCGTTCTCTGTCTTAAGGCAGGGTTTGATCTCCACCGATATGCCGAGCCACAAATACTGCCGTTGGGCGAACTAATGCGTTTGTGGGCGGGACAAGAAGAGGGTACAGTAAAGCAGCCATCGCTTTCAAGTCCTTGCACGAATAAAACGAACTGAGACGGTATCGTGGGTGCATATATCGCTCGTCTGGAAAATATCTGAGATATGGTGAACTGCGGGCAATCCATCAGACTGGGCATGGTAGTCCAGGTACCGTCATCACGACGACACACTCGGGTTCGTTAACGGCTCCGTATATGAACAACATGGATGTGCCATTTAGGTTAGCCGTTTTAGTTATGATATTTTCAGGTCCATCGAGGGATCATGGTGGTTCATTGCTGCCATTCAAACGAGGCCATAAGACAGCTGCGTCTACCTTGGGACCTCACAACAGGAAAGTGTCAAGAGTTCGGCTAGGAAGCAGTGTGATGTGAGTCGAAATGCGGCCAGAAATGACAGACAGTCAAAAGTTGTCACACTTTCTAACTACTTCAATGGAGCTCATAATAATAATCGGCGTTGTATATAGGCACTGGCTTGGCAGTTTCAAAAAGTGGCCAAGGTAGGTCACAGCGTGTACAGTTATGAGAAGGACGTCCGTCGTTCGCCGTTAGATTAGGTTTGTGTGCACAATAAATGCCTCGTATTCATCGGTTCGCATAAATACCGGCATGGTGTTTGTCATAAGTAGCAAAGGTGTGCGACAACGCGTACGGTTGTGTGACAGATTAGGTTGAATTAGCTTACCAGCGCCACACAAGGACACTGAACTACCTGGTACGATGTGTAGCCAAGTAAGGCGGCATCGGGTACGGCAATGAATATGACGGGCCGTCATATTAGGCTACCGCATATCGTTGAGGCCTTATTTTTACCGGCCGCGTGGACACTGGCCTGGTGTTTACTATATGTAGCAAAGATAGGCGGCATCGCGAATAGTTATAACTATGAAAGACCGTCGTTGGCCGTTGGATTATGTTACTGTGCATAGATGAGGCATCATAATCAGCCTCGCGCATAGACACGGACCTAGCAGTTACAGTACGTATTCGAGATGGGTGACAAAGCGTGGTGTTAGGAGCATAGAGGGCCGTCGTTGGTCATTGGATTAGGCTGCGGTGCATAGGCGAGGCCTTATAATCAGCGTCGAATATAGACACGGCCCAGTGGTTGCGATAAGTAGTCTAGATGAGTGACAACGACTACCGTTTTCATAGTGACCGCTTTTGGCGGTCACCACATATAAAACGTTATTTTCATAATAAGAATGATACCATTTTGTTGGTAAATTTCCTGCAGCTCTCTCGCGACGCTATA